ATCATGCATTTAGATCATGATAACCACAGATAAAGCCAGGTATAGCCTATAACTTAGCACCTCACTATCATGGCAAAATGTAACTTTATGGTTTCTATGGTATTTGTATGAAAAACAGTAGCCTAACAGTTAAATACATTATTAAATACTGTAATTATATTCCATTAGTCATTTAATACATTGTCTACATTAATAATATTATACAATTCAATATGTATATCCCACATTTCATGGTGCAGTTAATATTACTAGGCTAACGTTACAGTAAATCCATGGTAGGCTAAATGGATTCAGTATCAATTCAGATTCTGACTGTTTCGCTGCGCAGTGTTTCTCCTGTTTGTCAGCGGTGTTTCATCTGCCTTTAAACTGGACATTTGTGTTCTTCGCTGAACTTAAGCGCTTCTCACTGGATCTCGTGAGCGAGACGATCAGAGTAAACATAGACAGTATAAGAAGTGGACAGAGCCATCTCATTGGAACTCAGTTGAGACAGTTGAAGCCCATTTTTAGCGATTTTTGAGCACTTCTGTTCCTGACGCGCAGACTCAAACCGACTCAAACTAAGCTTGATGACGTGAGCAACCTGTCTGACAGACGTTAATCTTCTAGTAGCTGTGCGTGAAAATTGCCAACGTTAATCTTGCAGAGACGGGGAACTTGAGCAAAGAGCTCTTTGGCGTGAGTGAGCAGGAGTAAGTATTCCGTTGCTTTTATGGACTCATTATCTATGGGCTTCTCCCTTGACGGGACGTCCCCCCGATTGCCTGCGAGCTTCTCCTCCTGTCTGTACGGTAATTTCTGTACAGCGCGACAGAGAGTCGAGTGGTTATGACGCAATCGTTAGCCTATTTTTACTAAATCTGTTTCTACGGGGCCACAATGTGACATAAAAGGTAATGGAGCCCTTTATACATTGTCGTGTTTCTTTAGAAATAAATAATGGACAAATAGAGTCTTTAAACGCCTCAAATGTAAAGTTGTTCGCTGTCAAAGTGACGCCAAAATGAATGGGAGTCAATGGAAATGCTAACGCAAGTGAAGTTCTGCTACAACATGGCGGCACCCGGCCGGCTTCAACTTCCGGTCGATGGATTACCCCCTTGGTCTGCGCGGCCGTTTGGACTTTGAGCCGAGCGGATAAACGGTCCGTGTGGCGGATGAGTTTCGTTCCGCTTTTGACGCATACACATTATCGAACATTTATCGACCTCTTGATATCGTTTTATCGAGAAAAATTATATCGCGATAATTATCGTTATCGTTTTATCGCCCAGCCCTACGTTTAAGATGTAAAAAAAAAAAAAAAAAAAAACATTATACCAACTACATAGCCTGAAACTAGCCTACAACCCTATCCGGCAAAATACTGCTGCCATATGCGTCATTAATATTAATCAAAGAACAAAAGAAAAAGAAGAAATAGCACTCACTAATCTTGACTGAATAACTTTTGTAACTTTAATAAGGATTAATTAGTGCTGGGCGGTTCATACCGAATACCATTTTTTTATTTTTGTTATGATATGAATTTTTAATATACGGCAATACCGGTGTATGACGCTTAAACAACGCTCGGAACGCGGCGCAGCACGAATATTTGAGAGGGTCTCTTTTCACTGCTGCACTGTGGTGAGGGCACAGCTGTATGTGTTACTAAACGTGACGGTGAAGATGGATGGGTTAAACGATAATTGATAGCTGTCAAATTATATTGTTTCCCATACATTGGTTCACAATATCAACACATCCTTATGGAAAATGTATTTGTGGTTGGCATTGATATCGTTGAATAAATTTGAGCACTGCACGTTTCAAAGTCAAAACGCGACGCGGGTGTTTTTATATAATTGTATCGTTGAAGGGAACTGACTGTCTTTTAGAAAAGTTTCAATATTTTCATTTAATCTTTAATAACCCTGATAAAGCAGTGTTTATGAATGCAGCTGCTTTGTGTACAGCTGTTACCGGGGAAACAACTGTTTCTGACGACAGCGCCTCCTGCTGGCACCTTTTTGTAAACACTTTGAAAATGTGGTTAACACCAGTCATGCTTGAAAAAATAAAATACCGTCATATACTGTGAAAACGGTATAATTTAGAAAAATACCGTGATATGGATTTTTGCTCATACCACCCAGCACTAGGATTAAACTAGATATTATTTATAAAGTGAAGACTGCAGTGCACCTACCTGAACAACTTAAAACCCTGATTCATTTGTATCTTTGTTCAGTTGTTTTTATTTTTACTATTGCTGATTTGTTTTTATTTAATTATTGACTATTTACTTGTCTTTAATATATTTTTTAATTTACATTAGTTATGCTAGTAGTTTTTGCTTGTGTAAGTTTTCTTTAGGCTGCACATTTTTGTTAATTTTTTTTCAGCAACAAAAATTAATGTTTGCAAAAACAAAACAAACAATACTTATTACCTTATTGGAATATAAACTGGGAATTGATAAGAATTGGAATCGCTAAAATTCAAACGATACCCAACCCTACAAATGTTTCTTTTTTGTAATTCATAGATGTGGTATTAATTTGTTTCTGTAGAATCGTTGAGAATGGACAGGAACGGGTAGAAGTGGAAGAAGATGGACAGTTAAAATCTCTAACCATAAATGGTAAGGAACAGCTCCTGCGATTGGAACACAAGTAAGATAATGGAGCCCTTTCAGCACAAATTTGAGCTCAAACAATGTTAGTACTGTCGTTCAGATGTCTGTACATTGCGTTTTTTTTTGGTTGTTGCCTGTTTGTTGTTTTCCCCCCTCTCCTCCCTTGTTTAATTTTTAGACTGTTGTTTCTGAACAATTTTTTGGTTTATATATTTATAAATGAGGACTGTCAGTATTTTGCGCAGGATGCGTGTAATTTTACTTTTATTTGGGACCATAATGTGAGATTAGTTTTTCTTTCCGCTAGCACTTTGTGTTGCCGTGTCCTCATGATTGCACATTGCCTTTTGAATAGTGCTTTGGCCTAAAAGGAAAAGAGAATTGTGCTTTGTGCATGACTTTACCAACTGAGTGTGGATTTGGAGTATGTAACTTGCTGTTCAAACTCTATGGCAACTTGTCTGATTCGTTTGTTTAACATTTGTAAATGCTGGTAGAGTGCTAGATCCATTGTACTGATATGCAATTTTAATATTTTTAATTAATGAAAATGTTTTTTTCCCTCATTGTTGCATGTAAGACAACAAATGTTGTTTATAGTTGTAATGTTATTACTAAATAACCTGATGAGAACCCGAGTTAATAATATAACTGATTTATGACCATTCAAGGAACTTTGTGTACTTTGTAAAATAATTTGAACCTAAATAAATGAGTTTCATCCTTTTTGGGGATGTGGCAGCTCTGCAGTCTATGTAGTTTTGCTTTAACTGAGAGTGATCTTTGATTTTCTTCCAAATCCAATCATTAAGGGAGTGTGTTGCAGCTTGTTTTATACTAACACTCTTTTATAACAAAGTATGATTAGATTATTCTGCGTTTTCTGGAGTTTAGAGTGAGCGATATTGTTATGAGACTTAAATTTATGACCATTAATAACTTCAAGCAGATCATAATCGATCAAGTATATTCCAACAAGAAACAATGCGGACAGGGGGCAATTTATCTTCCTTAAATAGTAACTTTCTTAAGCCATTAACAAATATCATGTGATAGTACAGAGTTACGTAATGTACATTCCGAAATGAAAACGTATTAAAGAAATCAACTTTCTAACTATTTGAATGTACATTAATAAACTGTGCTATAATGTAACACTCTTACTATTATTAATCAAAAAAATGTAAAGTGATCAGAAGAAGTGTAATTTCTTTACTTTTTTTTAAGTTGTAAAGAGTGGATAACTTTTATTAAATAATGAATATATTTTGTTAAATTAGGGATACTTATCAGTTAAAGTTGTCTTGAATTCTCTATTATGTAGAACAACATTTCTTTGCTGTTTACTGCCTTTCATCGATGCGATGCCTTTCGCCTGCCAAATGAAGCTGGCTGCAGTGCTACCAGAATGCATGGCTAACAAAACTAACAAGTTTTGTGATTTTGTTTTATGCTCTCTAAATGCATCTCTACCTCTGGATGTCAGAGGTATAGTATGCATAGTGCAGAATTATCACCATCAAAACAGTTTGGGGAAAACTGACTGGTAATAGATAGTGTAATAGGTCTGCAAAACATCTTTTTTAAATTAAAGGCAGATATTATTACACTTATTTAATTAGTTTCTAAACTAAACCGCACCCCTCTCTCTAGGAAGAGCCCAGGAGATGGGCATGCTGGAGGGTCACAGACAGAGGAAGGAGCTTCCTGACTCCTCTTCCTCCTCATCCTCCTCCTCACACTCTGCAAGGCAGTCAGCTCAGAGAGAGGAGCAAAATAAAACTGCAGGCAAAGGTCAGAAGCCCATTTCATATATCGTGTCAGATTCCTGGAGCTCAAGCATGATGCTTGTGATACTTAAAAGTTATGTATCCCAACAGAGCAAACTGGAGTCAAGAGGAAGAGAATGACGGTGAAGGGAGAGACCAAAAAGGCCAAAGAGTCCTAAATTTGTTGCTGCATCTGAACTCGTAGTACTGATAGTCTGACATACTGTAGCTGTGGATATTCTGTGTCGAGGTCGGAAAAACACCCTAGCGTTTTCTTGTTTGTTTTTTTATCTGTTATTTTTTTGGATGCAAAGTTACAATTTATAATTTTTTTAAATTTATTTTCTGCCGCTACTATTCAATAAGTATTACAAACAGTAAATGATCACTGCTCTGAAGAACTGTGACTGATACCAAAATAAAAAAAAAAGGATGAATGGTTTTAATGAAAATATGTGCAAGCGAGCATTTCTTATTCGCATGATTCACACAATTTATTAATGAATGAACAACCAGTTTACATTGCTTTTCCAGTAATAAAACAGGTTTTACCTTTGGTTGAATTTATAGTAATAATGTAGACACAATGCTAAATGCTTGGTACTTGATTGTTGTACAAACGTAAAGTCATACTGAGAAATATTAGCCATGTCATCACAGTTTCTGAGTAAATACAACAATTCCGTTGAAACAATGTTGTGTTCATGACGTTTTTATGAAACTGCAGGCTCGCTTCTTTCTGGCGGTCACTGCCCTGAGCAACGGACCCCATTTGCTCTTGCTGAGGAGTTTCTCTTTCAGCTCCTGAAAGACCGGGGGTCCGTCATGTTCTTCGGCCTCTGAGCTGATCTCCATCTTCTGCACTATGAGCTTTAGCAGGTTGTGTTGCTTTTCCATAGTCTCTGATATCTCCTTCAGCCTGAGAAGTTGCACAGCACATGGTCTGACATGAAGGGCTATTGGGTTTAATTTGGGACTCGAATTGAATAACTCGATTGGTGTTACCTATATTTCTGTTTGGTTAGCTCCCGTTCCAGTGGAGATAACTGGTGGCTGGTAGGACTGAGACGGGTCCTGGACTTCCTCACCTCATTCCCACTGAAAAACCATCTTTTCTGTACACAAGCACATTAAATCAGCTTTAATAGCTGGTGGAAATTGCATTCACCAAGGTGAACTTACTGCACAATTATCATTGCATTGCCTTTTGAAACATCAACATATTCTTATCATTATCGTGTTGTCAGACCTTTCCTCTGAAGCATCTATTTGGGAATTCTCTGATGGAGACCTGGTCCACCCGCTTCATAAACCAATAGGGAAGCCTCTCCTCCAGATTAGTGTGAAGATCAATCTGTGGATTGACCGTAAACCATTGTTTTTAGGGAGAAATGACTTCTTATTTTTATTAGGACACAATATTAGAGAGTTTGAGTGGAATCACCTGCATTGCAATCCTCTTCAAACACGCGTTTGTCTGAACCTCTGCTATGTCACCAACAGCCAAACCGATCTAAACTCAAAATACACGAGTTTGACTGTAAAAAGACACACTGGACTGTTGTTTTATATTCAATTCAGACCGTGTTTTCTTTTGGACTTACCAGAAGGTTCATGAGAAGAATAGGCACGAGTAAGACGAACCAAATAAAGATGGCCAATGTCAAGTTTGGGAAAGGAAGGTCTCCTTGCAGGTAGGGTTTCAGGAAATTGTCCTGGTAGTTGATTTCTCCAACCATCATGACAAAGGTCTGCAGCAGTGACAGGAACATCCTTCCAAAATGTTGCTGTAAAGTAAATTCATATTTTAAATTGGGCTTTAAAGCTAGTTTTCCCAAATTAATCGTTTTTACGTTTAGCGATGATTTATGAACACTCATATGCTCACCTGTTCGATCATCAAGGCATAGAAGGACAAAGCAAATCCCAATATCAAGTAGAAGAACAACAATATAATGCTCAGCAGTGTCCGTGAGATCTCCCGAAACATGACCACATATATACCAATCCGTTCAAACCTACAGCCACGGGAGCATACAGATGGTAAGTCCTTAAAAATGTTATGTAATGCTTCTGTTACATAATTCTGTTCTGTGGATGTATTAAATGTCATCTAGTCCAATATGTACCGCTGGAGATAGAGGAGGAGATTTATCCAGGAGGCCAGAGCTGCCAGTGCTCCTGCCTGCCAGTGCCAGGAACTCTTGGCGTTCATCAGCAACGGCACCACGAACAGCAGAGCACAGATCGCAGCGGACCAGTCCATGTAGTTTGACGGATCTCGCAAATAATTCAACCGCTTCCAAAAACAAGCCACGGTTAAAATGTTTGCGCATACTTGAACTTTCAGGATGCAAATATTTTCAAACTGATTAAATGGAGAGATTTAAGTCGTCAGAGGAGTCTAGGGAAGATGAGGAGCGCCTCACAATGGTATTATATGATATTTTTGTTTTATTTATTTTTAACGATGTAGTCAAATCGTGCTTCTTATTACACAAAAAAAGTGTACTTTTTTCAAGATTTACGCATTTCAATTAATATTTTGTATTAGTCTTAAACTTAAATTTTATAAATACAAATCACAAACTAAATGATCCATTCCCTTGTTCCATTAACATTTACACAAAATGTTTTATTAAGCTCTATTTTTTTTTTACTCTATTTAAAAATTTGAATCCTTACCATTTATTCATATCATGAATTATTCAATTCAATTTTATGGAATTTTGCTCTTAATTGAAATGTAAATCTTGAAAAAAGGATTACATCTTTTTTTGAGTCTAGCTACTCCACTGACCAATTAGAATTAATATTCAAATGATGCAGCATCATATGCTTCTGTCCATAATAGGGGCGAAAATGGAGCTAAATGAAATTAGCCTCTTTTCACATAATATAACCAATAATTCATTAACCATTCAAGCATATCCGCTTTAAGTATCACTTTATTGCGACAGCAGGTGAAAAGAAACTTTCACATCTTGCCAAAAAATGTAATGACACACGTTAACGTTGACTAAACGCATGACTAAACTTGAGGGCTATATATGAATTTACCATAATAAGGAGGATGGAGTTCCTCTAATCTACACAACAATGGTGAGTAAATGTTAGATGGAATAGAGCTCTCCACTCATATCATGTTTAATGCTTATAATTGCCAAGTGTCTGTATACAGTATACAGTATGACGCTGCGAGGCTATAACACGTTATTAATTATCAAGATCACCTGTGCACGGGATAATAATTATCATAAATAGCTATACATTTATCAAGTTGGTTGCAAGCATGGTTTGATCAGTATTTATATGAGCCTCTCTGACTGATTCCCTCACAGGCTGCATTTATTTATGGGTTTTTTTTAATTGGCAAAATACAGGTAAGATTGACAATAGTTCGTGCAGCGTAAACAAACCTGTTGAAAAATTTGCAGGATCTCTTTCCCAACTGCATACATGTTCATAACAAGAACCAAGAGCATGCATGTTGTTGTTACATATGATTGCTGTGTAAATTAAAGAGAATTTGCATCAGTTTCTTGATGTATACAGTGTCACAACATCTTTTTCATGAATTGCCTTCGTATTACTGTACCTTGTACATGGAAGTGCAGACCATGTTGACTGATGTGACATTTCTTGCAGTGACCAATGTGGGCTTCAGGTTCACAATGAGATAAGTTAAAGGAAACACCCCCAGCGCATAGACAGTCATATTGAGCAGATGTGCTTTGATCCCATAGGCATTCCTGTAGAAAAAGGGGTTCCAAAAACTCAGGATGTTGAGATATCAAAAATGGCAAATATAATGGCAAATACTCACCATTTCATCTCCAAATATTTCTTGCAGACTGGGTGGGTCAGCAAGCTGACATGATTAAATTTCACCATAGCCTGTAGGGGAGACCTTTTATGAACATGCCCGTTCACAATGAAAATACAGTATCATTATAGCCTACATATACCTACATTTAATGCACTAAGAGGTTTGTAGGTGGTGTCTTTTTTCATGCCTGCTTTTTTAAGATTTTGCAGTGGATGCTGAAGCCACCGGAAGTTGTACTCAATCTGGTGAACATACAAGGTGTTAGTTGAAGAGGTTGCTACTTTAAACATCCAATACGAAAGGAAACTTACATAGTAATTGGTGCTGTTCACATCTTCCTCTGATTCCCTTATGCAAGTGTCTAGAAGATGCTGGGGAAATTGCATTGCTTTGCTGGTTAGAGTGTTAAACCTTCAATTTAAGTGCCGGGCATAAGCAACAGTTAAAACTCACTTTAAAGGACTCTGGAAGAAACTCAATCATGTCCATGACAATGCAGCGTTTTGCTGAGTTTGGTTTGTACGTTGTCATCGCCTCTTCACATCTGTATTCATCAAAGATGAGATAAATGAAGAAACTGGAAAAGACATTTCTAACATTTATAAAAAATAATGGTTAAGCTGACCTGTCACTCTCAATCACAGTGTTAGTGAGCTCCTTCCTCCCATTATGTACAGCCTCGTGCAAGAAAGAAGCATCATTCTTATTGAGGACGATCTTGGCCCCTCTGTATAACAGAAGTCTTACTGCTGCCACATGACCTGCTCTAGCAGCCAGATGCAGTGCGGTGTTCTACAAGAGATCAGCATTCAGAGCAACACCATCAGTAATATATTCATTGTAAGTGTTCCCAAAATAATCATGTTTAGTGTCGGTAAGTTAAAAATGATTAAAAAAAAAAAAAATCAGAAAAACTGTAATATTGTGAAATAATATTACAATTTAAAATAAGTTTTATATTTTAATATATTTTAAAATGTAATTTATTCCTGTGATGACAGCTGAATTTTCAGCATTTTTACTTTAGTCTTCAGTGTCACATGATTCTTCAGAAATAAAAAGGACAAAACAAATACTACAATATTCTGAAATTCATTTAAAAAAAATTATTCAGCCTCATTCACTACTACTACTAAAAAAAAAAAAAAAAAAAAATCAATTAGATTTTAAAAATGCTAAATTAAAGCTGGTCTCAGACGTTTGGACCCCAATGTAAATCAGTAGCTATGACCAAGTTGTGTCATAAGTGTTTTAGCAAATTAGACAGACTACTCCTTCTCCATCGGTTTTGTTTAGAAGTTTGATGTTTGACGTCAGCAAAGTGTCCATGGTCTGTGTGTATCCTTCAGATGCAGCATGATGCAGGCATGACCATCCTCTATAGTCACTAAACCAAAATATACATGATTCGCATTAGGATTTAAGGAGTTTTACGTTGCTCATTGGGATCATGTTGAAACTGTGTAAAGCAGGGTTGTTTCTTTTACTCCTGACAAAAAGTGAATTGTGCAATCACTCGTACCTGTGAAACAGCGCCCCCTTGCGTAGGAGAAGCTCAACTACTTTAACGTGACCTCCACGCGACGCCAGATGCAAAGGTGTCAGTCCTTTCTCATCGCCCTCATTCAGCAGTCTGGTGTCTGACACCATCTCCAGAATCCTGTGGCATGTGTTGATCCTCCCAAATCTCAACAGATACAGAAAATGATGCACATAACTACAAGTATTAGGCTATAGGCTACTGTCTGTAGGCCTATATAACTGCAGCTTTCCTTCAAATTGTTGAGGAGATTGGCAAATGCAAATGCCTTTTCTTATTGCCATTTCTGAATCTTCACAATGACAACAGACTTACTCGGCTGCAAAATGAAGTGCAGATTTCTTCTGTTTGCACTTTTGGTCCAGCGAGACCTCTAATCCCAGCATGTTCTTCACAGACTCTGGGATTCCCAGTCTACAGGCGTAATGGAGAGGAGTGCAGCCCTCAATATCCTCATCATTAAAGAGCTTTCTCACACTCTCGTGCTGTGGATAAACCAAAAGAGCCTCACGATGAACTTTGCACAGTCTTCTACATAGTTCTACCTCTTTTTAATGACACTAACAGTAGAGGGCAGCAGTGACTTCTCCTTTTGGATCCCTATAGAAAAGCTGTGGGAAAGAGAACTACAGTGAAAGATGGGTACGGGCTCTTAAAGCCCTGTACGTTTTACCTGCAGTACCTCTGTTGGCAGGTTTTTCAGACCCCTGGGCTGCAGGATGGCCAGATGCAGGAAGTTGCATCCAGATGTGTCTTTTTTCTTCAGATCAGCTCCTATAAAACAAACAGATTCATCAGCTTGTACATGCTATTCTTATTTAGATTATTATAATAAATAATATTGTAAGACAGTGGTTCTAAACCAGAGGTGGGATCTCAGCAAACATCCATTGGTGCCTAAAAGTATATTTTACAATGTTTTAAAATAAGACAAACAAGCTTTAAAATAAGCTTAAACAAATACAAATCAAAATATTTCTTAGTTTAATTCATCCCTAAATTTCTGGAATTCTACAATTTTATTTAATTTATAATTATTTTAGTTAGGCTACTTATTTTAACATCCTAATTTCTGTAAAAAAAAAAAAGGAGCAGGGCCTTCAAATATTGTTGTCTACTTGGAGTCAAAAGGGGAAACTGTTATAAGATAGGAAATTATCATACAAATAATCATGTTTAGGGCTGGGTTAAAAAGACCCAGCCTTCGAAAAAGTAGTCGATCTCCGAATGCAACGTAACATCAGGAGAGTAGATAGAAAGCTCCTAAAGCTTGTTTCCATATACATTCACGGATCATTTTTTGTTTTGTCGTTAGTGAAATTACAAGTTCATAACATTTCCTCATATGGAGTCAGTTCATTGATTACGTTGCATTCGGAGATCGACTACTTTTGCCTGACAAAATTCCAGCCACCGGAAACACTAACTGATAAAGTGAGTCGTACAAAACCTTTCTTTTGAGTAAACTTTGTGTAGGCATACACAAATAATGAATTCAATGCTCAAGTTCATGTGTAGAGGCCCTAGTGATACTTCGAGCACAGTTTTATGTTGTGTCAAGTCTTCTTATTGTTTTAAAAACTGCGATTTTGATGCTATCATAGAAATGCACTCCCATTCAAAAGGCATTTTTACCTAAAACGAAAATACGGCCAATCTTAAAAGTGGCGTTTCCATTCTAATCATGCTTTTACACAAAAGTTTGACTCGGGTAGATAAACAAAAAGAGCCTAGGTTCGATGGTAACGCTTCCTTTTACAGTACAGTAATTACGTGTACTTACAGTTTACTTACCTAGAAAGTACTGGCTAATAATATCATGGGTAACAGGACTGTAAAAGGAAGCGTTACCGGTTCGATTTTGGCAAGAGTTACCCTTTAATACCGTTTTGCCGCTCTTTAATTTCGCATGATCGCTGTTGCCTCAAGCGGCAACTGATCATCGCTTCCGCTTTACTACAAGTTACAGCACAAAATAAACACCAGAAGGTATGTTGAAAGATACAGTACAATTTACCGAAATCTGTATCAAGTCTCGTGTAATCGCTCAATCAGTGTTTCAACCGCGGAAAGATGTAAATAAAACAGCTTAAAATATTTTTTATTTCATTGTATTTAGCCTACGATAAATCTATAATATTTTTACGACAGCCAGTTAAATGTTTATATTTCAAAAAACAAGTAGAAACGCAATTATGTCATTAAAAAGTAATTACTGTAACATTATTATAAAAAAATGTCCTTATGTGTAATTTAAATGTAAGTAGCCTATAATAACCATTATAGTAATATACCAATGGGGTTCCCTGTGGAGTTTACAGCATTTAGTTGAGGGATATTTTTTTTTTCCTTAAGAAAATTTGCCACATACTGTACTGATACATACCCCAATTAATCGAGATTGAATCGAACTGAATAAAAATCGGAACCGAATCAATCCGCAAGCTTGTGAATCGAAATTTTATTGAATTGTGAAATGTGTGTCAATACCCAGCCCTTATTATTATTATTATTATTAATAAAAATAAATAAAAATAATAATTTATTAAGGTTACCTACCATGGGAGAGGAGTAGATTGACAGTTTTCCATGCTCCACAACTTGTTGCCAGAAGGAGTGGAGAATGGCCTTTGCAGTCCACAAAGTCAATGTCAGCACCCTGGAACAATAATGCCCGGGTTTACAGTAACTGTCAGTATATCACATATAGTTTATTCATTTAACAACTGCGTTTGCCATACCTGTGATATAAGGTACTCGGAGAGTTCAAAGTGATCAAAAATCGCTGCTCTGCAAATGGAAAATAAATATGTTAGTTATGTTAGTTTGTTTAGCCTTGTTTAGTCTTGTTTAATGTGTAAAGCTGAAGTACTTATGTAGAGGTGTCTGGTTGGCCCCATCGGTGATGTTGATAAGGTCACACACTTTATGGTAAGACGAGAGCATGACTTTAACAACCTCAATGGCACCTTGACTACATGCAAAGTGGAGAGCAGTGGATTTATCACACTGTAAAGAGAAAAATATGTTACAAATGAAAATAGAATTGAATTGATTAGAATTGATTCTTTCTCGGTATTCATTTTCATGACAAGATCCTCTTTTACCTGCTGCTGATCAATTTTTGCTCCATATGTAATGCAGAGTTTAATGATGTCGAGATTCCCTCCACGTACAGCCAGGTGGAGTGGACTGCTGCAAGATTTATCCACATAGTTTATATGGCTGTCAATGGACAGACCACCTTCTTCTCCTGTGAAAAATGAGAAATACAAGACACTGGATTTGTAGGTACTACTATGTAATATAATGTTTCAGGTTCAGTGATGCAACATCTCACCTTTCAGAAGAATGACCTCCATGGATTTCTTAGCTCCAGAAAAAGCAGCAGCATGAATTGGAAAAAGTCCAAGTTTGTTCTGATGACAGAACTTTGCACCATGTTTGTACTGGAGGAGAGAGGTTACAATGATTTGTGTGTGTGTGTGTGTGTGTGTGTGTGTGTGTGTGTGTGTGTGTGTGTGTGTGTGTGTGTGTGTGTGTGTGTGTGTGTGTGCGCGTGTATAGTACAATAAGATTATATTATTATTTATATTATTATTAAATTTAATTTTTAAACAATGGTGGGTGAACATGGATTTGATGCGTGCAAGATTTATACTTGAATATAATGATGTTTCTATTCAAATAATAGAACTTAAACATTCACCCACCACTGATTTAAAATCAAAATCAACTTACCAATATAACCAGAGCCTCATGGTTATCCAAAGAAGCAGCTAAAATGACAGGGGTGTTTCCCATGTCCCCTTCCAGGTTCACATCAGTTTGTTTATGTGAGACAAGTTGCTAAGTAAACCCAAAAGAATAATCATGTTAGCTACATGGAGAGGGGTATGTTTCTTCCAGTGAAACACACGACTATGAGCTTTAGTGTTTGAAGATCTTATGAGCAGAATGACCCACCTCTACCACCAGATTTTTGCCCAGGCTGACTGCCGTATGTAGCGGCGACTGCTGGCTGTTATTTAGGATGTTAGGATCTGCTCCCAGAGTCAGCAGCACAGAGCAGATCCCTGGCTGGTCCTTCTGCACGGCCCAGTGAAGAGGTGTATTCCCCTCCTCATCCCTGGCATTGAGCTCTGCAGTGTCAAAAATGACTTTTTGTTTTATTTTATTTACAGCAACAGATATTTTGTCATGAATTCAAGCTCAAACACATGTCTAAAGGTGTGGCTCTATTACCTTGTTGTCCAATGACCTGCGCAATATGTCTGATGATGCGAAAATATCCCTTGGATGAGGCGTAGTGCAGTGGGCTGGCACCGATGTGATCGCGTATGTCCAAGTACTTGGAGTGCTTCTCCAGAGCCACTGCGTTTCCTTGCTTAGCCCACTGAAAACAGAGTTTAAAATTCAGTCATGAGGAACATTAGACCACCTGCACAAGCTGTCCTCACAATACTACCAGACAGGGGAAACTAAACACACCTGAAATGAATGGCACAGAATTTGCTCTTTCTGAAAATATTTTGTTACACTTTAAGTTTGCACTATACAATTTAAAAGTTTGAGGTCAGTAGTTTTTTTTTAAAGAAATCAATACTTTTGTTCAGCAAGAACATTCAATTGCAAAATGAATCCTGACAAAAATATATAATGTTTTCCATAAATATTTTAAGCAGCAAAGAACTGTTTTCAACACTTGTTTCTTGAGCTGCATGAATGATTTCTGAGGGTGAAGGCTGCTGAAAATTCAGCTTTGCCATCACAGAAATAAACTACATTTTAAAATACATTTTCATTTCTTAAACCACCATGTAGGAAGACACATCATGGCCATATTCCAGGATGACAATGTCAAGATTTGTCAGGCTCAAATTGTGAAAGAATGGTTGGGGTGGAGCATGAAGAATCAGTTTCACACATGAATTGGCACCTCTAAGTCCAGACCTTAAATTCATCTTTGGGATGTGCTGAAGTAGACTTTACAGAGTGCTTGAAGATCGTGACCAAATATTGATGTGCCTCATGATGGAAATGGCATCACAACTTTTATTTTCATCAAGAGGTGCATAAATGTTTGGTCAAGATCTTGTATTGACAATGCAAGAGTCAAGCACTCTGTAAAGTCTACTTCAGCACATCCCAAAGATGAATTTAAGGTCTGGACTCAGAGGTGCCAATTCATGTGTGAAACTGATTCTTCATGCTCCATCCCAACCATTCTTTGACAATTTGAGCCTGACGAATCTTGACATTGTCATTGACAAACATAATAATCACTGCAATAATTATCCAATCATATACTCTTAAGCATTTGCCTTGTTAAATCCAAACAGCGACTTTTTTGCGGCCGGTCAGTGTATTTTAAAATAGAAGACAGACAGTTTAAATTGTAAGAATATTTCACAATATTGCTGTTTTTATTGTATTCTTTTATCAAATCTTTTCCGCCTCGTTGAGCAAAATTAGACATTTATAAACATTGCAAAATCTTGCTGACTCCAAACTTTCTGAATAAACAAGTGAATTTAGATAAGCAGAGTACCTCAAACACATTTGCAGATATCTGGTTGCTCTCGTCCCCATCCATGACACTGTCAAATGACTGCTGTCTAGATTTTGACTCTGTTTTGGAGATGTGTGTCATTTCAGCACATTTTTTAGTCATCCTGTAAGAGGACCATGACAAACAAGAGAAAATGTGCCCTTTATTGTTAAAAAAAGCATTGCCTGATTGCCTTTCAAACACACAAGCTTCAAACAAAAGAATAAATGATGAAACAGATCATAACATCAGATATAAACAACACGAGATGAAAAAGTTGAAGAGGCTTTTGATGAGGCCCATTCTTACCCATTTGGATTCTCCTCTATATTGGCTTGTATGTGGCTTCTTTGCTATTAGCGAGAGGGTTTTTATAGTGTGGTTAGATGTGTCCTGGTTATCAGATTACACTGTTTCACTGAGTGAGAGAGCGGGATAGAGCCTTTACTATTTTTCTGATGCAACCAGCCGGCTCCTAATGAGACTTGCGGGCACTTAGAAAAGAGCAAAAATGTAAGCTCATGGAAGCTGAGAATCAAGTTCCACTAGATACATTACATTATTAAGGTTTATGTATGAGATGATATAATTGTGATTCTGTATAATACATGTTATAATTATATTTTATTTACATCAACCTTCTTTTTTTCAGCTAATTCAATAACTGAAGCATTACTTGTGAGATTTGTAAATATCAATCAAGGATTTAGGAGTTAAAGGGTTACATATTAGCATCAGAGTGGTCCGCTTCAGGTCTAAGATCATTTCCTGTTGGGACTGCAGAGGCATAAACCCCCTGATTGTGTTCATGGGCCATTATTGCTCATGACCTCATCAAAAGCATTATTTGTGAGCAGTAAAACTAAAGCATCTCCAGCTATAAAATATTGTAGTCTCTCCCAGACTGATCTCATGAAATGGCGTATGTATGACACGCCAATTCGTATTTCCATTTTTGGCGTGCTATCAACACGCATAATTGCTTTTCAGCGTGTTTATCAACGCCGTTGACTTAACGTTACATTACTGTATATATAGATATATGACCTACCCCAACCCCGTCCCTAAACCTACCCGTCACTGGGGTTAATACCATTTATGAGTGTTCCCCTACCATCCAGGGAAAAAAATATCGCTCCCCAGATGTAGATCTACATTTTGCTTCGTTTCGCTCGGACATTTAACGGCGTGTAGACATACACGCGGAATCACTCTCCATAAAATATGACAAAAACTTGTTTTATTCATTTCAAACATTTCATTTGGAGCAGAACTAACCAATTAAATGAGGATTAAGAAATGATGAAGCAAACAGCTCATACGAGCATGTGATGTTTAGTAACATGTGGATGTTTGCTTTAATAGAGACACCAAGTCATAAAATGTTTTTGAATTTTAAAACCAATATTGGAGGTTTATAATATCTATAATGATTTGAAGATAGATTTTAACATGATAAACATTGCATATAGTTACTTAAAAAACAGTTTTGAATTTCAGAATTTCCTTCTCATGATTGCACAGTCCAGTTCAGTTCCTTTACTCAAGTTTTAAAATTACTGTAAAACTTTTCAATAGCTAGTTACTTGAGAATTCTCAGTTTTATGATTTAATCTTATCTTTGTTATAAACATTTGCAGATGTGTGATAAGAAATGGAATAAGCTTGTTTTGTTTTTGATCTACTGATCTAAAGGTAAAATACCTCTATGATCCATAAATCTAAAAAGAATAAACAGACATTTTTCTATTATCACCACTTAAGACAATCAATAGGATTCTGAACGTCATCACATTATTTATCACATTTAACTATTCATTGTCTGAAAAATATCATGAACTACTGTATGCTTTTGATTCATTATTTTTGTACATTCTGTTCAATTACATTTAAAAATATTTTCCTTCAAAAATATATTCAGTTGCCAAGAATGAAAGGCATATTTGTGTTATATTTTTACAGGGTCCAAGCATCCTGATTGAAACAGAAAACACATGGCCCACAGTGTTGAAGGTCCAAGGGACTAACTCAAATCTAAGGGAGATTTTCAAAATAATTTAGGAAGTGCCATCGGAAGACAACCCTCTCAATGGGATATACCACTGCCAGATACTGTAGCTGGTATGGCTGACTTTGGGAAATTGGTTTAAAATAGCAGGACCGATGGAAAGCACAGAGGCTCTAATCAGGACAAGAACAAGCACTCAGCTCTAAATCAATAGGGCCGATCCTCCTGGGACAATCCAGCACCTAATAGCAGGATGCATGATGCAGACAGGAACAGCGTGCGCTTCTGGCACACCAGGACTTTACATGGAAGCATCAGAAGTCCCAAGTCATAACCTGAAGCTAATACCCTGCAGACATAATCATTTATAACGTATTATTCATATTTAAATTTGAGTATTAACATTGTCATTAATTATATATAAAATACATAATGTAATGTATTTACAGTATATACTTCATAGTTATTTATTTATATTTACATCACGTGTTTCGTGCCAATTCATCTTGCTCTTACTAATTACACGCTCTTTCTCTCTCTTCAGAGACTAGATGGTATTGAGTTTCTCTCCATAATCTCAGATTTTTCTCTGCGTTGTGAGAGATTTGGGTGAACCTTTACCACCTCAGTTGGTTCTATTGTTTACAGGTACAATAGGTTTGTCTCTCTATTTGATCAAAATCAACACCCAAGACATCGTGGTGTCCTTGCATCTGTTTTATTCCATTGGTGCACCAGTGATGTACAGTTTGAGTGACTGAGACTTCTCAGACCAGACAGACGGTGACCATCTGCCTTACGGTTTTGTTCCAATGGCATTAGTGGCACAATGTAGAAAGCTTTAAACTGTTTCCTGTCTAGCTTGGTAGTTTGAGACACAAGAATGACCAAAAAATAAATGTTTCATATGAAAAAAAAAAAAATGACCCAGTAAAAAAAAAAAAAAAGTGACAGAGGCCGGTTCTTTTAGAAAGAGGGGACAAAAAAACCCAGATGGTCAACAATCTCATATCACTGTAAAAAGTGTTTTAATAAATCTAACCATGAAATGTAACACAAACACCCTAATGTGGGTCTACAAAAATTATGTGAAAAATAAGAAATAACAAAACCATTTATCAAAATATAATCACACGGGGGCTTCTATATCCTTTTGCTGTATTTCATTGTAGATTATAAGGTGTCATTTACAGTACTTTAAAGACATAATTTTAACAATAATTACTGTAAAAGTAGGCCTACTTGTTTTTTCTTACAGATTCAAACATACAGAGAAAGAGACAGTTTCTCTGTTGTCATGGATCCCAAAGGAACTATTGTCCCACTCAGTTAAAGTTGTCAAGAAGAATGCTGACAGGAAGTATTGAGTATATTGTAGTGGAGGGAGGGTGAAGGGGTGTGAGAAAGTGCAGAGAGAGAGAGAAGGATCATATCTCCATCCAGTGGCCAATTAAAATACAGCACTTTGCCCCAATCTGTTTTATTACAACTAATGGCCATGATAGAGGTCTTGTGTTTAACCACTTAAAGATCTGCTATCTATCTATCTATCTATCTATCTATCTATCTATCTATCTATCTATCTATCTATCTATCTATCTATCTATCTATCTATCTATCTATCTATCTATCTATCTATCTATCTATCTATCTATCTATCTATCTATCTATCTATCTATCTATCTATCTATCTATCTCTTGGGGAATTCAAGCCAAGACTTTAATATTTATATAGCCTATATATAGCCTACAATACACAAATAATGCATGTTATATCTAAGACAATAAGTCTCTCACGATCTAAATCTTTTAATCTTTTCAGTTGTGTGATCCCTGCTTAGGTTCTATAAGAGAATCTTGAATATCATCTTATACATCACGCAAATTATATCAAGTTCCTTGTCATGCTATTCCGCCTTTCCCAAATGTGGATCATCGTGTTCCATTGTGTCATGTCCCCACCTCATTTGAACTTGCTATGACAGAGAGCTAGAGATCAGCGACACTGACTCCTGTATGGGACGGAGGGATCTGATGCTGCTGCTATCCTTGGTGATGTACAGCTCAATCCAATTAGTCTTCAGCTCCGGGCTGTGATGCAGCGCGCGCTCCTGCTCAGTCGAAGCTCCACTGAGCGCTAAGTGTGACAGTCCTTATACGCGCTGCTTTTCACTTTAAACACAGGGCATGGCTTCGTGGCGAGAATAATCAACAGTTTCGGGGTTTCCCCGCCCCACCTTCGTCTTTCTGCTTAATTCGCACGAGTTACTTGTGAGATTGTGTCCATACAGAATGAAGAGGAACGACTGCCCTTTCAGCAGGGGTACTACTGATACCTTTATCCCTTGAGCAGATGGAGTGGGAAATAAAAGGCTAATTGACCTCTTTTGGTTGTAGAGGTAAAGGAAGAAGAGGTGAACGGCGGGAAGGTAAGATTTCGTTGCTTTTATCCGCTTTAAAAGAACCGGAGGTCGTTTGGATACGTTGTGCGTAAGATTGCACTGTTTTCATTGGGCACATACACTCCGCGGACAGGGATGCCAGAACTCTACAGTTCTGCTACTCTCAGCGTATCCCAGCTGTTAGTGTTCACTCTCGCAAATAAAGGTTCCTGACAGCAACGGGAAAGGGCTTTGCAGCTTGATGCAATTGGTTTTACATGAACTTACAGTCTCAACTCAAGAGGTTTTTATACAGCACAAGTGGTTCTTGATAAGAACCGAATAAATTTGTGTGAACGAGTGTTTGTCAGCTGTCCTGAAACAGGTGCACTGGAAAGTAAAGACTCTACCTCCCCGATTAAGGATTAGTCTGCAATGATTGTAGGCCTACTTGAACAGCTTGAAATGCAAAGTTGATAAGGGGAAAACGCATGTTGGCTTTAGACTATATACAAAGTAGGCCTATTTAATTTATGATAACTATCTTTATTTTTAACTGTATAACAAACGTGTCTCGATAGTATTTTTGTTTCTCTCCTGACCCGTGGATCTTGAGCACCGTTGAGTTGATTTTTCTGGAGTTTACAGAGTGATAGCGATAATATTAGGGCACACCAACTTAACCTTGTGGGGGATAAAGCGTAAAGCAGCGGATATATTATGTGGGAGGGTGT